GAGGAACCTCTGAAATGATTACCTTAAGATTATTTTTAAACCTTAAACCAAAAATGTCCCCTGTAGTCTTCTTAACACCTAGGGAGACACTTCTTATTGTTGTCGTTACATGCCATCAAGTCTGTTCCAACTCATAACAACCAAGTATAGAGTTTCTGAGTTTGAATAGCCGACCTGTGGTTCGCAGTTCAGTGATGATCCTCCAGGAAGACACTTAGAACCTCAGAATTCTGTTAAAAACCTTCAGGAATTATCATCTTTCACACTCAACCCATACAACTAGTCTTCCATGAGGCATGTGCCAACGCTTACAAGACATGCTGAGTAAGACTTGCCCCTAATACACCCAATTAGTGGTCAGGAACACCCCAGAGTCCAGTCTGGGATTGCCCAGTCGGGTTTTCTGTCAAAGGAAGCATATTTAATTACATCATCTCAGAACACCAAAGAGCTTCCCAAAGACTGCCTGCCAATAGGTAATTAAGCAGTAAGGAATTAACTAATTAAGGTGTTCTGATATTATTGCAAAGATGGGCCAGTAGTCCAATGGAACAGAATAGAGACTTCAGGAAAAAAAAAATCACGTCTGATTAATAACAAAGAAGGCAAATCCAAAGGACTATAGGACTCCATTTCTATGAAGTCTCATAGTGGGCCAAGAGTGGGTCAGGGTGACAGGGACCAGAGCAGTGGTCAGCCTGGTGGAAGTAGGGATATTGACCAGGAGGGTAAATGAGGGAACCTGTTTTCAGGGTGTTGTTGTTGTTGTTGTTGTTAAGTGCCATTGAGTCGAGGGGTAGGGGGCTGGAAATGATTTGTAGAACTGTCTGACTGACTGAAATGTACAATGACAATTTCTGGCTGCAGGTAAGTCACCTTCCCTCTCTGCGCTTCTGATTCTCCAGCTACAAGGCTGTTGTAAACTCCCAGGGGTGGTAGCAGATGAGTTCAGGCTTCAGCAGGTACCACCCTGCCCCAGCTCCCCTGTTCATCTCCCCCATACTCCTCCAGCAAGCAACTACACTAGGGCATATTTTTCTGTGTTTACATCTGTCTTTAAAAATCAAAGCCACCTCAGATGGATGCCATTAGAGTACTGGGCTTGCCCAGATCTAAAGAGATTCATGCATTTGGGGCTGCTGCTGGAATGAACAGCCCAGGGAAGCTGGCAGCAAGTAAATGCCAACAACCTGGCAGACGGGACGAACAGAGGCCTCTGGGCTCCCTCCTGATCTGGAGGCAGAGTTCCTGCTCCTCTGGAAAGTTGATGAGGAAAAGCCAGAGGTGACCTCCCATCCCATCCCTTCTCCACTGGAGCCGATCACTTGTAGTCAAGGGTCCTGGTGGGCACAGGATCCTGGCTCACAAAGCCTTGCCACTCTTTTCTTGTACCCAACAAGGAGCCAACGATGAAGGCAGAAGTCCCAAGTTGTGCAGCTGGCTAAGGGGTCTCCTCTCTGAGCATTTCACACCATCCGTGACATGTGAATAGGGAAAAGAAGGGTGAACTGGAATGGCAATTTCTTATTCTTTTCCTCCAAGCAAGAGAACTCTTTCTTTGAAATGAATTGTCCAAACACCCAACAGGCAACTCAAATAATGTGGAGCTGTCCCTGTACCCGTTGGATCCCCCAACTCTGTCTTCCTGTTCCCTACCCAGGGGACAGACTCCTGGTGTGGCACTGAAGGATCAGCACTGGACTGCAAACCAGACGGTCAGCAGTTCAAACCCACCAGCTACTCCTTGGAAACCCTATACAGGGACGATATGAGTTGGAACCGACTTGATAGCACTGCACAACAACCCCCACCCAGGGGACAGCAGCTTCCCCCGGGTAACTCAGGCTGTATTTTCCCACCACATTCCCCATGGCTGCTCTGTACACTTTGATACATCCCCTCCCTTTATGGTATAAGAGGAGCCCTGGAATAAGAGAGATTGGGGTTTCAATTTCAACTCTACTAGCTGTTACAACCAACTTTTAAGCAAGTTGTCTTTCCTCTCTGAGTCTCGGACTCTTCACTTACAAACTGGAGACATTAAAACATAACTCATGAGCTTATTATGGAGAGAGGGCCTGGCATGGGAGATGTAGAGATGGTGTTAGCTGCCGTTGAGGCAGCCCCCAATTTATGGTGACCCCCCTCCCCCATGCACAATGGGATTGGACCTTTACAATGTTTAGGGTGTTCACTGACTGATTTTCGGAAGTATACCCCCAGGGCTTTCTTCCTAGTCTGTCTTAGTCTGGAAGCTCATCTGAAACCTGTTCAGCATCATAGCAACAGGCAAGCCACCACTGAAAAGTGTGTGGGCCCAGAAAGGAAAGTGTTCCACAAATGACAGTGCCCACCTCCAGGCAACGGAGGAAGGACGTGGCACAGTGACAGCAACACTCTAGATACCAAGTCAGGCCTCGTGCCCTCACAACCCTCCTGAAGGCAGCTACCTTGCTGTTAGCTGGTAGGAGTTCACTCTGACTCAAGTGTGTATAACAGAACTGCCCCATAAAGCAGATCATCAGACCTGTCCACTAAAGCATCTCTGGGTGGGTTTGAACCACCAACCTTTAGGCTAGTGATCAAGCACAAACTGTTTGCACCACCACAAACTATGTTCCTAGAAGGTTCTTGGGTCACCACCATTCATAGAGACCACACAGCAGTCTGTGCTTATAACCACCACACACTGCTGGGACCACATGGTCATGATGTGTTGCCTCAAAGGGAGCAGAAAAAGCATTCCTGCTTTCATTGCTTCCTCTCTCCTGATGGGCAGTGGCTGTTCTGTCTATCTACTGGCCCTTTTCATTCCTTCCTCCCCACCCAATCGGAGTGGCCACTCACATCACTACACTCCTCAAAACCCTTCATGGCTCCCCAGTACCTCCACAGCCATACCCAAGGCCTTCACCATCTAAGCTTCCACCCTACCTCTTCTCATCTCCCTACACTCCCCTGGAACTCTGCCTCCCCTCTCCCTCACCTGGCCAATGACTGGGCATCCTCCCAGGGAAGACCTGTGGGCAGAGGTGAGTGCTTCTTCCTCTTGGACCCATGGGGTCTGGCTCATACCCTTCTTGCTGCCCTAGACAGGGCTAGATCCATATCTAGATTTAGTTGTGTGGCTGATTCCAACGCTAGGCTGTGAGCGCCTTACAGAAATGCATTGTGTGTGACTCCCCTCTGGACCCCACGGTTTGCACATAGTAGGTATTTTCAAAACTATTCATTTTGTTGAAAAGATACAACCCTTGCCTCAGGGACCCTGTGGGGATCAAGAAGAAGAAAACAGAGTATAGGTTACAGCCCCCAGTGGCCAGTTTCCCTGAGGGCAAGGTTTTGGGGGATGGGAGACACAAAACCAGTTGCCTTTGAGTCGATTTGACTCAGGGTGACCAAGCTGTTTCAGAGTACAGCAGTGCTCCATAGACTTTCAATGGCTGATTTTTTCAAAGTAAATCCCCAGGTCTCTCTTCTGAGGCACCTCTGGGCGGCTTTCAGCCTCTAACCTTTCTCAGCTAACAGCCAAGCACATGAGCCTTTTATACCCCAGGGACACATAAGCCCTCTTTTCTCTATGAAGCTCTATGAAGCTGATACAGTGGCAGTAACAATCCTCCCATGAGCCTTTGGGCCCCTGTTGCCTGATAACACTGTATTCCAAGTAGCTACAGGGAAGGCAGTGGGCAAGAATAGGGTGGGTTGTGGCCAGTCGCCGCAGGGCAGAAGGATTAAGTCCCAATGATTTCCCACCATTGCACTTTGTGGTCACTTAGCTCTGAGGATCTCATATGGCACCAGAAAGATGGAAACTGCTTGTCCCAGCAGGTGCTACAGGGAGGGAAAATGCCATGTGACAGGCCCCTAGGGGCAGTATGTTCCTGACCCTACATCTGGGGTGTGCTGGGCCTCCAGGCCACAACATCTCCCACCCAGGACTGAGCAGCCTCAGGACTGGCAGTGCCCGGCATATAGGGTGGCAGCACCCATACACTCCCAGCACCTGCATTGTATTCAGGTCGCAGGAAGAGGTGCCCAGTGAAGGAAAGAGCAATAGGTTTGGCAAACTGGTTGGTTCATTCACTTGTTCAGTAAGTCTTCCTTAAATACTATGTGGACTGCTCTGTGTTAGACCCTGGGGAAACTTGAAGGGGTAATGAGCTCCCTGTCACAGGAGGCATTCCAGAAGAAGCTGGATGGCCCTGCAGTAGCATTGTTTAAAGAGGAATTGTGCACCCTGCCTTTCTCCACTACACAAGTTGAATAGTCTTCTGCTCCCACGTCCACTGGAGTGCTCCCAGCCCAGCACAGCCCAACTCTCAGGGTAACTCCTTCCTCAGCCTTTTCTCTCCTATTTATCACTTTCTGGCTAAAGCACAAGCTCGCTCCTGAGTTACCAGAGCACTTAGTACATCACTCCGTCACCACACTTATTACACTTTAATAAAGTTGTCTTCTTGGTCTCTGCAGTGTCCCTCTCTAGACTGTGCCCTCTTTGGGGACTGAGCTTGTCTCTATTCCCAGTATCTCAAATAGGCTACATACTGGCTGAGCTGGAGGAACTCAACCTAATAGGTCCAAGTAGCAGAGCACTTCAATTGTGTCTGTTTGGTCTCCTAACGCAGGGTAAGGGGAATAGGACCCCCTACGGGTGGGAGTTGATCTGTATCTTAACTTTCATGTCAACTTTTCACTCTGCTCAAATATAGCCCTGTTTTAAACAGAGTCAATCTCCCCTACATCTTCAAGTGAAAATACATCTCTGGGGACATCCTGAGGCTCAGCATGCTCCTGCCCCAGCTTGAGGAGCCATAGGTCAGTCTAGATTAGCTCAGAGGCTCGCTCTTACTCTGAGATGTTATAACCCTTCACACACGACCCACATTGAAAGGCAGTGGGCCAGACTCAAAGCCTCGTCCTGACCAAGTCTGCCCATGCCAGGCTGCTGGACCTAGCCCGATCGTCAGCCACGGCAGCCCCAGTGCTCTGGGTCTCACCTCATTGACGTCAATCTTGTTCCTCTTCATGTAGCCCCTGTCATTGACCTGCCCACCGTCCACAAACTCCATCAGAAGGACCCGCTTGGTGGAGAACTCCCAGTAGATTCGGGGGACCTGGAATAGGAAAGAGTGGGTCAGAAGGTTCTGGAAGGCTGTGGTGAGGACCACAGGGAGGCACAGGAAGCCAGGTGATAAAGATGCTTCCTTCTAAAACAGAAGAAGAGACCCAAGAGAGACCTCAACAATGCCTGGGGCAGGAGAGGGGGCGACCAGGCCAGGGGAGAAGGGCAGACGCCTCCACCTCCATCACGTAGGCCCTTGGCTCATTACTACACACACACACCTATGGCAGAAACGGTTTGTGCTCAGTTACCAATCAAAAGATTGGCAGTTCAGATTCACCTAGAAACACCTCAGAAGAAAGGCCTGTGAAGTGACTTCCAAAAATGTTGCCACTTACAGTCCTCTGGAGCAAAGTTCTACTTTGAATCCAGTGCAATTGTCATGAGTCCGAATCGACTGGACAGCAACAGATTTCCTCATTTAGGCATCATAGAATGGCCTCCCCATCCTCCTCAGTGCCTTCGAGACCCAAGTAAGAGCCCAAATGAAAATTGGAACTTGGGGGGAAATGTGTGAACCTCCTCATACCTGGGCCAGAGTCAGTGTTTTACTAAAAGAGTGGGTTCCTTTCCCCTTCCCATCACCAGACCCATTTCAAGGTCCCTGCCTGCATGAATCTTAACCTTCTACCTCACTTTCTGTATCTGTGCAATGGGTGTGTTGTATGTATTAAATGAATGTTTACAGATGATAATTTCTGGGGGGGACAGAATTGTGAGTTTTCTCATGCCCATTTTCTTCTAGAACTCTGTGGCAGACAACACTGGTTTCTAACTCAGCAATTCTATTCCCAGTCCTCCCATTCCCCTTGCCTACATCTAACTCAAAGACAAGAAAAACAAATTTTTCCTGCCTACCTTGCAATTAGATACAGCTTATGAGGCATAAGTGGAGGTTTGCTAGAAGATTCTGGGACCATTTTTCTTTCTTGATAAAAAGGGATGTTTGTACATAGTAGTACTTCCCTATCCCTTCTCTTGCTGCCTTGAAAGTGAATGTGACACCTGGAACTGGAGCAGCCATGTTGCAACCATGAGGAAAAGCATCACAGAGCTGCCAGCCCTGTTTCTTTCAAGTCACAATGTTAGCAGGCAACTCCCACAAGCCTTCCTGTTAAGAAATCTTCTGTGTTCAAGACACATACGGCCTTGAGTCTGTGTTGGGCATTCAGTTGCCTGCAGACAAGAGCATTTCTAACTGATTTGTGCACCCCTCCCCCCCAGCTCCCTTGATTATATAAGCACCCAACAACAAACAAGAGAACAGATCTCCCAAGAAACTGGACTATAGCAAGGGCTGCTGGTTGCCATGTGAGTGAGGGGCACCCATCAGCAACACCATGGACAGGAAGGAGAAACCAGCTGGTCTTCAGCATGCCTCACTCCCCTCACAATTGATGGGCTTCTCTTTTTCTCCATTCCTCTGCTTTACCAAGAATGATGTCCTTCTCTAGGGAGTGGTCCCTCCTGCTAAAATGCCCAAAGTAACCATCCTGGCATCTAAGGAGCACTGTGCTTCTCCCAACACAGATTTGTTTGTTTTTCTGATAGTCTAGGTGTGACACTGTAGGATAAGCACTCGATCACAAGGCCAGTCTCAACATTGGCGGTTCAACTCACCAGACACTCCTCAGAAACCCTATACAGGATCGCTACAAATCAGAACAGACTCAACACCACTTAACAACAACAACAAGGGTACTTTTAATATTATTCTCCAAAACAACAATTCATATGCATCTTTATTCACTGTTCAAATTTCACATGCATCCGTGATGATTGAAAATACCAGGGCTTAGAGGTCAAGCATACCTTAATCCTCAAACTGACATCTTTGCTCTTGAATACTTTAAAGAAGTCTTGTGTAGCAGATTTGCCTAATGTAATACGTCATTTGATTTCTCAAATGCTGCCTCTATGAGTGTTGATTGCAGAGCCAAGAAACATGAAATCTTTGACAATATCAATCTTTTCTCCATTTAACATGATGTTATTTTATTAGTCCAGTTGTGAGAATTTTAAGGAGCTCTGGTAGCGTAGTGGTTACGAATCAGGCTGTAAACCTTAAGGCCAGCAGTTCGAAACTACCAGCCGTTCCACGGGAGAAAGATGAGGCTTTCTGCTCCTGTAAAGATTTACAGCCTTGGAAACCCTGTACAGGGTCGCTATGGGTCGGAACCAACTCGATGGCACTTAACAACAACAACAACATACACTGAGGTATAATTCATTAAGAAGTATTTTAAAGTCCTCTTCACTTTCAGCAAGTAAGGTTGTATCATATACACAGCAAGTTTGTTCATGAGTCTTTCTCCTCTCCTAATGCCGCATTCTTCTTCATCTAATGCAGCTTCTCAGGTTGTTTTCTTAGCATACAGATTGAGTAAGTATGGTGAAAGAACACAACCCTAGCACATACCTTTCCTTATTTTAAACCACTCAGTGTCCCCTTGTTGTAGTCTAACAACTGCCTCTTGGTCTATGTTCAGGTTCCTAAGGAACACAATGAAGTATTCTGGATTGTTCATTCTTTGCAATGTTATCCATGGTTTGTCATGGTCCATACAGTCGAAAGCCTTTGCCTAATCAGTAAAGCACAAGTAAACATCTTTCTAAGGATCTCTGGTAGTGTAGTGGTTACAAGTCAGGCTGTTAACTTAAAGGTCGGCACTTCGAAACTACCCACTGTTCCACGCTAGAAAGATGAGGCTTTCTGCTCCTGTAAAGATTTACAGCCTCGGTAACCATACAACTACCACCACCAAATATTTTTCGAGTATAAATTTGTTTCAACCAAGCTCTACCTTACATCAACAATGATAGCCCTAGTTTCACGTCCTCTTACGAATTTGGCTTGGATTTCTCTGTTGATATACTGCTACGACTGTTTTTGAATTATCTTTAGCAAAATTTTACTTCCATGTGATATTAATGATATTGCTTAAAGATGTCCACATTCCATTAGGTCACCTCTTTAGAATGCACACAAAGATAAATCTCTACCAATTGGTTGGCCAGGTCACTGTCTTCCAAATATTTTGGCATAGATGAGTGAGCACCTCCAGTGCTGCATCAGTTTGCTGAAACATTTGAATGTATATTCCATCAATTCATGCATCTTTGTTTTTCACCAGTGCCTCCTGCACAGTTTGAACTTTTTCCTCCCATACCATTTGTTCTTGGTCATATCTAACCTCTTGAGATGGCTGAACACTGAACATTTTTTGTTGGTATGGTAACTCTGTGTATGCTTTCTTTTTGATGCTCTCTGTATTACTCAATATTTTGCTCATGAAATCCTTCAGCATGGCAGGTCCTATAATCCCATGTCTTTGCACATTTCATTATACTTGACATTGTCTTCTCTAGGTGCTCTTTAAATGTTTCTGTTCAGATCTTTTACCTCCTCATTTCTTTCTTTCACTTTAGCTTCTCTACGCTCAAGAACAAGTTTCAGAGTCTCCTCAGACATCTATTTTGGTCTTTTCTTTTTTTCATGTTTTTTTTTAATGACCTTATGTTTTCTTCTATGCAATATTCCTGATGTCATCCCACAACTCTTCTGGCCCTTAGTTATTAGTGTCTAATGCATCAAATCTGTTTTTGAGATGACCTCTAAATTCAGGTGGGATATATTCAAGGCCATATTTTGACTCTCATGGACTTGTTTTAGTTTTCTTCAGCTTCAGCCTGAACTTTCATGTGAACAATTAGTGGTCTCTACAGTCTGCCCCTGGCCTTCCTTGAACTGATGGTCTGGAGCTTTTCCACCATCTCTTCCCACAGATGTCGTCAATATGATTCCTGGGTATTCCATGTGGTGAGACCCATGTGCATAGTGGTCTTTTATGTTGTTTAAAAAAGGTATTTGCAATGAAGAAGTCATTGGTCTTCCAAAATTCTACCATGTGTTCTCCAACATCCTTTCTATCACCAAAGCCATATTTTCCAACTACTGGTGTTTCCTCTTTGTTTCCAACCTATGCATTCCAATCACCAGTAATTATCAATGCATTCTGATTGCACTTTTTTTTTTTTTTAATCAACTTAAGACTGAATAAGTTGGTTGTTGTTGGTAAGTGTTGTCAAGTCACTTCTGATTCATAAAGACCCTGTAGAATGTTTCCAAGGAGTGACCGGTGATTTTGAATCACCTATTTTGAGGTTCAAACTGACCTTCAGTCCAGTGCTTATCCTATACCACCACACCAAGACTTTTTCAATTTTATTATCAATGGATTTAGTAGTTGGCATGTAATTTTGAATAACAGAGGTATTAACAGGTCTTCCTTGTAGGCACATGGATATTATCCTATCACTGTACTTCAAGATAGAGCTGGAAATATTCTTTTCACAATAAATATGATGCCATTCCTTTTCAATTTATTGTCCCCAGCATGGTAAACCATATGATTAACTAATTCATAATAGCTAATACCAGTCCATTTCAGCTCACTAATGCCTAGGATACTAATCTTTATGTGTTCCATTTCGTTTTTTATAACTTTCAACTTCCCTAGATTCAAACTTCATTTCATGTTCTGATTATTAAAGGATATTTGCTGCTGTTTTTCTTTATTTTGAGTTCAGTTCCATAAGCAAATGAAGGCCCTAAAAGCTTTACCCCATTCACATCATTGTGGTCAACTCTACTTTAAGAAGGCAGCTCTACCCGAGTCGTATTTTGAGTGTCTTCCAATCTGAGGGACCGACCTTCCAGCACTATATCTAACCATGTTCTGCTGCTATTTTTAATGTTTTTAGGGGCTAAGCATTCAAAAGTAGGATGCCTATCCTTCTTCCTAGTCTGTCTTAGTCTGGAAACTCTGAGAAAACCTGTCTACTATGAGCAGCCCTTCTGGTATTTAAAATATTGGTGCTATTGCTTCCAGCATCACAGCAACACACAAGCCACCACAGTATGACAAACTAACAGACTAACGGTGGAATGATTGGGTGGGGCAATGCAAATAGGGTAGATTTAAAAGGAGC